AGTATAACTTTATTTTGTGACATTATTAAATACATACATATTTTAATGTCTGTAAATGATACATTTTTATACAGTGTGAAATGCAATTTTTTTAATTGTATCCCCTCATTTACAGGTCTTAAAATCCACGTGCCTGTACACAGAAGCATCTGATTAACATCTGTACAACATTTTCAGAGTTTATTTCAGTATCATCAAGATTGAAGTTTAAGATCAAATTTATGTTTGCATAATACTTGTATAATACTAGTAATAATAAAATATTACCTTTCTATGGATTATTAAAATCATAGAAATAAAAACACTAACAGCAAGATGCTAATGCATGTATTACCTCACACAATACATTGTCTTGTCATTAGCTGACAGGAAGTATATTAGAATTAAATTTTAGTCACAATACTATACTCCCAAAGATGAAGCAGTGTACACAAATCACTTCAAATGTATGAGATTATATCAGTGTACTACCAACTGAAAATGAATGCGGAAATTGGAGTTTCTTTTGTTGATTCATGTCAAAGTGAAGAATAGTTACCATCAAAATTACTAAAGATAGTCAAGTAGAAAATTTCAGCGATAGAAATTGGCACTAGTCCTGTAGTCCTTGCAAAAGTGCGCAATAGTTAAGGTATCATAAGGACAAGTAGAAATTTGCCATTTATAAGGGTTTTGCTATATGTTATCATTATAAGGACTAGTGGACTATAAATGTTAGTTTCTACCCCTGGAAATGCAACTATTTTGTAAGATAGATCTAAATTGATTTTTTTCAACAAGAAAACTGTTTAATTCAAATAGTATTCATATAAGTTGAAGAGATGTTTAAACATTATATAAAGGCAAAACCCCAAAATAGCAGGTATTTGGTTTTAACAGAATTTTGGTTCCATAATAGTATCATATTAGATGTCAAAATTAAACCAGCTGTAATATGAATGACAACATTTACTGATTTGCTGGGACATGATCAGCTGAATTCAACAGAGATACAACAGTTAATGATAATTGAAAGAAATATTGTTACACAATATCAACTGTATCCATGTTGTTTTCAGAGGTGATAACAATTCTATTATATTTTTTGTACATTTTTAACACTGTTCATAACATATGCACTTGCTCCAAAAATATGGAGTTTTTGTAATGTGCTCTAAAGAAAGATAATTTTAAAGCATGTAACTCTAACATTGTGATGATAATTCAGCATTTGGGCATCTATGATGTGCCAATAGAAAGACATAAATATTTTTAGAGAAGACTTAGATGATGAATACCATGCACTTTTCATTTGTTCAGCTTATCCTAACATTAGATCAAGATATTTGTCCTTGATACAGACTATTATGAATATCCTAACATGCATAAGTTCTGTATTCCCAACAAATGACAGCATTTTATTCTAGCCAGTCCTTTATCTTGTTCAAATTTAGAAATTAAGAGACCAATATGAATTGAAGTGCTCTGCCACAATGTGCAGCGTTAAAAATTTGCACTAGTTCTGTAGTTCTTTCTAAAGTGGCCAATAGTCAAGGTGTCAAAAAACTTGTAGACATTTGCCATTTTTAAGGTTTTTTGCTATATGTTATCATTGTAAGGACTAGTGGACTAAAAAAGTTAGTTTCTACCGCAGAATGTGCCCAATATTATCCAATTATCTGCACTGTTGGCATTGCCTGACTATACAAAATACATATTGTTCTATTTTGTGCATTGCCTGTATCTGAATATAAATCAAAATGACCAAATTGATTCTGCATTCAAGTCTAACTGTCATGCCATCTAACTTACTAAGCAATACCACTCACACAATCATTAATGAAGATGAAATACATTTGAAATCACCAATGCAGCTTGATTAAATTGTAGTGAGCAAATGTTCATATGAGTATCGACTAAAAAATGTCTGAATAATGTGTCGTCTCACATAATATTTACATTATTCACATTTGATAATGGAGGCATTAGATTTTCATCATGATTTATAATATACCCCCTTTCTATACCCAAATTATGTATCACAACACATGCAACAACATAGGTTACAGCCTGTCTTGGAGTCACCGTTTCAGGACACCAAAAGTCTGCTCAATGAGCACCCTTGTCCTGCACAATGACCCATTGTAACGGCATGGTTGGTGGGGTTCAGTAGAGGCGTCAGGAGGAACCAACGACATGGGTAGCCTGAGTCCCCCAGCAGAAAACCTTTGTACTGTCCTTAAACATAATAAAATCAGGTTATTTATTATTGAAAGAATAACAGATTGTTTTAAGATTTGAATACTGGTAAAAAGTAAATATCATAATGTATGAAGAAAATTTGTCTCATCAAGAAGTACAATATTTTAATATTTATATTTCAATATTTATCTCAGCTTGTGAGAAAAAAATAAATTGAAATGGAGGATATGAATCCAAGCTAAATCGTGAATTAAAATGGGTATGGAGATTTTATGCAGTGACATTTCCAGGGCTCCAAAGCAATTGCCCTTTGTATGTCACTTCAATTCAATGAGACGTCATACAAAAATATCTGTGTATTGATTTAAATTTACAGATTGACATGCTACTTCTTGACATCTTAACTAATAATTACAACAGAACTGATTATATTATTTGTAACAGGATGAAATATATGCTTGTTCACTAGCAGAATACTATTACCAAAGTGTTCTAAAACGTGTCATACCATTATCAAATTGCCTGCACAGTGCTGACGTATGTCATGTACAGATCCCTGCCAACTGGCGTTGCAACTTGTGATGCAGAAATTGGCATCACAGCACATCTGTATGTCTTATCTACACACTAGTCCACTGGCCCAGTAAGAAATAAAAACTACTGGCCCAGATATAAGTTACAAGTCCAACAGAAACTCAGAAATTTAAGAGAGAAAACACTTGTCAATATAGTTAAAGTCATTTTATTCATGACTTTACTGACTTTGTTTGTTTCATGCACTTCTAACCATGGAAATTTGAGCTTCCACGACTGTTGGAATGTCCTTTCCCTCTTTCTTGCACTTTGTGTTGGCTTTTCAATTTGCCGCAGTGGCTTTAAAAAATTTCACGAAGCGGTTCCGGCCGTGACGGCCATTACAGAATCCCGCTATGTGAAGCGTAGAAAGAAGCATTAATTTGATTGGTCACATTAATCACTTCCTGTTTGATACGACTGAATTTATTGGTTATTAACAACTGGTCTCTCACTTGCCTATGTAGAGTTGTTGTTATAGCATGGGCATGCCACACGGACATAAATAGCCAGTTTACAGATATTTATTTATATATCGTGTTACGGTCTCGGTAAGGGAAGTAACTAAGATTGGTAGTTGGCAAAGACAAGTTGATGTACGGCTTTTGTTGACTGAATAAAAGATCGAGTGAGTTTTAACCTGACTATTGGTACACCATATTATTTCAATAGCCAGCTGGCCCAGAATAAATATAAAATTACTGGCCCAGATCAAGTTTCACTAGCATTTGTATAGTTGGCCGGCTAGTTGGCTATTGGTACACCATATTATTTCAATAGCCAGCTGGTCCAGAATAAATATAAAATTACTGGCCCAGATCAAGTTTCACTAGCATTTGTCTAGTCGGCCGGCGTATTTGTCGAACCCTGCTGTGGGATAGCAAATCAGAAATTTAAACTCAAACTTTAAACACATACAAAAGACATACAATGTCACTCATCTTCCCATTATTACACATTTTTAATTATTAAGATTAAGCCTTTCTTCAAGATATTTACCTGTACATTCAGAGAATGGCAACCTTTCTGGTTCAGGAAGTTTTCCTCGTTAGCGGTAGGCCGCTGTATCCCGATGAATCTGCCATCAATACGCCCTACTATACATCAGGGAATCCTGAAAGTAAAACGTGCCATATGGTATCACAATAGATAGCATACTACACGTGCACTGTACAGTGGTTACTCGTTTTCATATACAACCCGTGCCTAAATCAATCGCTTGATTATAATTTTATTTTATTTATATACATGACCTCGACCTTTGACCCATAATTGTTTTCACTGACCAATCGAAATGGCACTGATACGATGAAATCATTTATTTATGTTTACATTGGGAAAATCCCACGTACGTACCTGCAGTGTTGCCGAATGCCTCCCTGACTCGTACAGCGTCTCCTCAAACTGGGAACTTTATAAACCTCCCTGACAGTTTAGAAACTGCACGTATGCATCTGCAGGCTGTAGATCGGGAAATGTTAGGCTGTCCCCAACCAGCAGATGCATAGTACTTGGCCTAAATCGATACCGTTCAAAAACTTCGTCAACATCTAAATCTTCCAGCGGGTTCGAACGATCGCGAAACACTCTCGGAACGCGGGTTTTCCGCCTCGCTTGTCGAGTCTGACGCAGGTGAGGTGCCATTGTTGATATCGAACTCAGCGTTGAGCACGTGTCGAAGCGTACTCTAGATCGTACCAATTTTATGCTCAATCTGAGTACGGAAACGTACTCAGGTTATTTACAACCTCCGTTTATTGAGTCTGAGTTTTGAGTTGAGCACGAAACCGGATTTGAGCATGAAATCGTACTTAGGGAAGTTTTATAACCTCGGGGCCATGCTTGCATTAGAGAACAAGCGTGTAATAGAGAAAATATCGAGCAGAAATTAGACCGGACAGCTATAGTGTTAGCTGTTCGGTAATAACCGACACCGCCCTGTTTGTGCTCCGGATGTATTTTTTAATTGATACGATGCAAAGTGAGGGTTGAAGTGGAGGTATATATAGGTCCCTGTGGCATCAAGGGAGTTGGTTACCATACAAAATGCAAGCGATGTCACTTTGCCCTATTTTTCAAACAATAAAAAACGCTGTTGCGGGCGGCGATTTATTAGTAGAATCAAAGAAACATGGCGGTAAAATGCGTGTGTAACATGTTTATGTGCAACCAAAGCACGGAAATACCAACGGACATGTATTGAAATAACTGCACACAACCAAAAAACTCTGTCACATAAAGCTTACCTTTCAGTCAGTGTTCAACCGAGTCGCTGATGAGACATGACGTCACAGAAAACTGTGACGTCATATATTTAATGACGTCATAAAAGTATGTGTGGCGAAAACTCCCACACTCCGACGCAGTGGTGACTCAGCATAACACCACTGCCGCGGGCTAATTTCCATATCACGTGACCAGACTTTTCTTGTTTTTTTAAACAAACGCGCTTTTTCAGAAATCAGTATAAAACGGACCAATGCAAGTATTTGGGGGCGCTTTACATATTGTTTTGCATAATTATATAGATATGCTACTACAACTGCGACAGTGAGTTGCATGACAATATAGATCAAAGTGACCGTATCGCTAGCTCCCCGTTGGCCTTCGAGCCGTACAACCAATGTAAACAGAGAATAACTACGCAAAAACAAGTAGATTTTTCACGTATTAGGATACTTTCTAAACGAACCGTAAACATTCTTTGACATTTGTTTATGAAAATGTGTAGACTTGTCAAGCATGTTCAACGGATGAAAACATATGCAATATCTTGAATGGACTGTGGCGTTGGTCTGTGGCAGAGGTTCTATATGTTGGCTGGCTGCCGGTGTCACGAAATATATTCGCCCCCAGTATAAAATCTCCCCCCGGCGAATTTATACCGGTACAATTCCGCCCCTCTCGAAATAAACTCTCCCCCACCCTACGAAATAAATCCCCCCCACCCCCAGAATATTTCCTCCCCCGGTCGTTTTATAAATACTTGTGTTTGGCTGGTGTTGGGTCCGACTTGGCCCGGACTGTCAAAATCCACTTTAAACACACAGATGTGTCATCAAATGTGTTTACATCTATAGACAAGCCAAATACTTCTGATAGAGACAATGTTGAGAATGTGGAGTGAAAAGGGCTTCACTTTGAGCACTGTGTTTTCTTTAACTACCGCAATATGAGACAATAAAGTGGTATATAGGTAGATATAATACTAGTCGTTAGATATAAAGAATGTTTAGTAACTTTAGAAGTTCTAGGACAGTCATTAACACGTGTCGTGTCAGCCCTATGACATTCGAGATTGTCCACTTCCAGAAAACATCCTGTGTTGGTTTAACATGAATTAGTAAAGGTTAATTAGGGATGCCCAACACGTTAATTAATGAAAGACGAGTAGTCAAAACACTGTCATTTCCTGCCCAGGACATCACAACCCTACACGCTAAGGTCGGTGAGAAACATTCTCATCAAAGAAAACACACAGTCAAGACACTGACTTTTCTACGAGGACTCACGGAATATTTTCTCCCCCGAACTATTTATATAGACTTGTCATGCAGTTCAACAATTGTAATTGTCTAAAAATGATTTTGCTATGTGGTGTCTTTGTGATATATTTTGATGGAGAACTTTTACTTGCGTGTATGGCTGTTGGCATGTATAAATTTAAGTGAGTCAGTTTCGGGTTCAGTGGATTTCTTGTTTTTGTAAGCAAAAGCAGTATTTAGGCATTTCACTGGATCCTAAACTTAAAACGGTAATAACTAGAGGTATTAAAATTTAAATGCCAATTAAGGGAATGTAAGTGGTACAAAAGTGTTCTCCTATTTGTAGATTCTCTAGGGTTAGCTACCAATCAAACCCTAGAATATTTTCTCCCCCTGATTATTTATACAGACTTGTCATGCAGTTCAATACCTCACTAGAAGCACTACAAGTAGAAACGGGAGAACTCCCATTGAAACTAAGAAGAGAGCAGGCAATATTATCGTTCCGGGGACGAACATCAAATCCTTTGGTTAAAAAGATATGGCAAGACAAAAACACTCGAGATGAAGCCCTAGCTCGAAAAAATCCCTCACTAAAGCCATCTGGGATATTAGTACGTGAACTCATTCGAGGTCACAATTGTGATGACATTCAGCCTCCAGAAAGTCACTACAAAGGGTTACACCCTCCCTGGACTTTAAAAACTCCCAAAGTTGTCACTGATTAACATCAGAAGTCACTAAAAAAGAAAACCCAACCCTACTACGATCAGTAGCTATCACTAAAATTCAAACTACCTGGGACAGCTGGGCCCATATATACACTGATGGATCCAAGAATCCTATCAACAACAGTGCTGGTTACGGGATCCATATCCACAGCTCCAAACCCCAAGCACATTCAGTTCGCTTGCCTGATGGTCAGTCAGTATTCAAGGCTGAATTGGAGGCAATTCATCATGCACTCAAACTCATTCCGGAACTTCCGGAAGCAAAGGCAGTCGTCCTATCAGACTCGCTGGCAGAAACTCAAACTCAAGGCCAAACACAGTCAACAATGTTCTATACGAATATACAAAACTATCGGACCAAGGGCAACAGGTGGAGCTGTGTTGGATCCCCTCTCACATAGATATTCATGGAAATGAAAAAGCAGACTCACTGGCGAAGCTAGCTCTAGACAAAGCGGATATACAGCCCATCCCTTTAGTAAACTAGAGATAAAAAGCAAAATCAAAGCCTCCATAGCAGAAAGATGGCAAGCCCAATGGGACGCAAGTAAGATCGGCAGATGGCTATACAAAATTCAACCCAAGGTCCAACAAAAGCCAAACTCATACTCAAATGAAAGGAAAATTGAAAATGCTATCTCACGCCTCAGACTCGGTCACAAAAAGCACTATGACAAGGTTTGTTCATCTTGCAATCAGGCTGAAACCATTGATCACGTGTTACTAGAATGTCAAGACCATGCCCCAGCCCGGGCTAGGTTAAAAAAAGAATTGCAGTTAGATCCGCTATCTGTCATAAATCTCATAAAGCCAAGAGATGCAATAGCGAAGGCCAAACTAACTCTATTTCTGAGAGATGGACAGCTACTCGAACGTATATAAACAGAGCAGCCAAGGATAGAAATGAAATCATATCAATATAAGAAAATAGAAATCATATCAATACAAAAACAGAAATTATGTGAACACCAAACTCACAATAGATAGGTGTACCCTACTCACACACAGGAGTCCCAAAGAGGGACAGGTCAGCCGAAATTGCCTAGGCAGAAGGCGACCTCCTAAACACTTAATGCAACAACAACAACAACAGTTCAATAATTTTAGGTGTATTAAATGCTTATGCTATGCAGTGTCTGTGTGGTATTTTGTGATAGACCTAAATACTAGATAAGGAAATGAATGTGGTAAGAATGTGTTCAGCTGTTTGTAGATTACCGTCGTCTAGCTACAAATCCTGTGATGTATTAATGGTTGAAGAATTTTGAACTGAACTATCCGAAAGTTTACATCTAAAATTTTGTAATTGAATACAGTGATAAAGTCTTATATCAATATGTGGACTCATAAATATTGGTTTTATGTTTTAACGGAGATATGATATTTTCTTATGAACAGAGTTTATCTTTCTCCAAAATCGGAAAACTTCTATTTTCTGTTTAGTGAGCTGAGCAAGCCAACCAATCTCCCCCCGGACAGCTAAATTTGGAGTATATTTACCCACCCCGAGAAAGAAACGGCAAGCTTTATTTTGAACTGCGTTTATACAACTGAATTCTCGATTGCCAAAAATAACTGAGCGATATGATAAAATTGGTTGAACAAGATTATTAAATAGCGTATTATATACGTCATAAGCCAGTAAAGCTTGTTTGTTAATCCCCATTCATATATTTATGTTTAAAAATCTGTTGAAACAAAATACATTGTAAAGCCTGGTTTGTTTGCATTAAATCAGAACAAAGGAATCTGTAATTAAAATGTGTAAGGTGTAAAAAGTTTTTACATAAAAGAGCAAAATACATGGGGGAGAGTAAATACATAATTCTATATAATTTTGTTGAATGGAGCACATTTGAAAAAAAAGATAATCCAAACATATTCGATATTACCGTGTTTAAAGAATTTATATCAGTCATATATTTCTAACTTAGATCACCCGTATGTAACCCAGGTAAAGCATGCATATCGGGGAACATTGTGTAATGTTGGTACAGCTTATCGTGTCTTCGTGCTTCAGCATTACACATTGGCTTTTCATATTCCTCTAGGTTTTAATGTTTATTTGTTTATGTATTTTTTTATTATTTTTTTTCTCTCCTTTGTTTTTTCTGGGTTATATATTTATCTAAATATACATTTAGTTACTTGTATGCGTGGGGGTGTTTAACAGAAACCTGGTTGCACCATGATATTCTAGCCACTGATATTACACTGATACCATTTTCAAATCGTAGCCTGTATTAAGGAATATATTTTAGATCTTAAATCAGAGTATAACGGACAGCCTGAGCTGGAGGCGCGCGTGGATATGTTGACAGTTTTTACGTAGTTAGTGTTAAAACCGAATGTTTGCGAGGATTAATAAGATTTCTGAATTCAGTTACAACAGTAACCGTACATGTATTTGTTACATTAAGTCATTTCATTCAAATTTGTTTGGTATGATATATGTCTTATAATTATTTTAGGATGGAAGGTACAGTTACCAAATAAAATATGCTGAAATATCAATTCATTATGACCATATTTCATAATCTATTTTTTTAAAGTAACGCTCCTTACATTAAAGATAACTATTTAAAGAATATAGTACTTAAAGACATTGCAACAAACCGAATAATCAGGGGGGAGACTTTATACTGAGGGGGGGCGCGAAATATATCCGCCCGGGGGAGAGTTTATACCGGGACACCGGCCGCATGGAACTCTGGGAAGGAGAGTGGAAAACTCCGCCGCACTGTCAAGCTCCTTCCCAGCGCATGACGCCTTTGTTACACTCTCGGAAACATCGCTGCCAATTCGTCAACACTCGCCCCTTTTCGTAACCTTCAAGAAGTCTCGTCTCCCTATCGATGAATGTTTATGTGCGAAAATACGACAAACCAAACAGAAAGCGCGTATGACGTTAGTACTTCGGTCAAAGAATAATCTTTTGCATTTAAGATATACCCAAGTTACAGTATTATATGGTATGATTGAACACATTTAAAGGGGAAGTGTACACGCCCAAATCACTTTCTTTCTTGTTTTAAACAAAACGCAATTTTAGAATTAGTTAGTATCAGTGTTTGAAAATATATACTCATTTTTCTCACAGT